GCCTGGGCCATTCTATGATTCTATGATTTAAAGGCAGAATTTCATAAAATCAAATTGCGTCCCTCAAATTGTGAACCTGTCTGACTGCCCCATCAACACGGACACTCTGTAATTACTTTTGATCCCTTCTTCTAACAAGATTACCGTTACGAAGATCCCGTCATCTCCGAGACGGACGAGACTAATGAAGTGGAGATTTCGCAGGTCGTGGAGCAAAATCCGGTGCAATTCTACCCTCCGGAAAACAAGGCCAGCAAACCCATCAAGCCCAAGAAAACCATCTCAGATTCCTACATGAGTAAGATTTTTTCAGCTCCTATGAGTTTTATAGTACCTCTGTGGGAAAAGGTGTAGAAAGCAATGAGGAGGCTCTGGGTGAAAAATAACTGGCAGGATGTTTGAGCAGAGCGGGGAGGTAATCTGTGTGAAAATTCACTGTTAATTATAGCAGAAGCCTGCCAGAAGAGGGGAGCAATGCTTTCAAAACCCATTCTTGCCTTCTGCACACCAGTTTGTGATAATTATTTGGTTTATCAGTGAACCAAATGTGTACTGATCAGTAGTTAATTTAGGAAATACAGCATTTATTTCCCATTTCAAATAATCCATACTCAGCAGTTACTCCCTTTGCAGCTTTTTCTGTTTTTTTTTCAGTTTGTTTCATTTTTATTTCTGGCTTGGGGAGGTTTCTGAAGTTATTTGTGGAGCTGGTAGTACTTCCTCAGTTGCTTTCTAATCGCTGTTAATTAAAAGAGACTTACTGTGAGAACAAGGTGAGGCAAGCCAACGCATCCTTTTCAAGTTTATCTACCAGCATCTCCAGAGTCTGTAATTAAGTGGAGAACGAGAGTGCTGCCTGCAGACCTGGGGCTGTAAATCAAAACCTTCAGTGTCAGATGTTTCTTCCTTGCTTAATATTTCCAAAGGCACCTGTCTCAGGTGAAGGGCTAAAGAGGCACCAACTGCTCCAGGCTGGGCTGGTCTGTGATAAGATTTTATCTCTGTGCACCAAAGGACCTCCAGGGAAGATGCACGGCAGTTGATTAACCCCACAGCTCGAGAGCAGGCTGTGGCACTCTCTTTCTTTTAAAAAATATTTATTTTTTTATCTTTTTTTCTCCCCAGCGCAAGTCATTACCTGTGAAACCAAGATGAGAGACAAATGCAGAGGCTCAACGTGCAACAGGTAGTGGTTTATTGATAGCTCTTGGAGCACTGTGGGAAAAAGTAGCCTAGAAATTGTCCAGTTTTTGCAAACATAGGATAGGTTATACTATATATTTTTGGGACTAGCTGGGTAGATGTCTTTTTTTTAAAAAAAGAAAAGCCTGAATTTCTCCTTCAGCTTCAGCTAAGCCTAGCAAAAGGTGACTCAGATTATTTAATTCAGCCACAATGACCCACAATTTTGAGTGTCCAGATAAATTTCATAAATTTTGGCAGTGTCATTTTTTGAGCCTTTTTCATGCATTCCACCGCTGTCCAAGCCAGACCAATAATTCATGGCTTGTCCCCGCCCAGCCAGTCAAGAACTTCTGGTTAAAGATTCTGCAAAGAACAGGACAGTTTATCACTTGGAGGAAAACCAAATCCACAGAATCTAAATATTGGTCGGGCTTTTAAGGAGGGTGGAGAAACTGTTTTAAAAAGTAGTTATTTTGCAATCTTGTTTTTAAATGGAAGAGTTACGTGAAATGAATGGAATGACTATTAAATGAAATAGAGTCAAAGTCTGTTTTTCTTGAATTGTTTTTTTGCCACCCTCAAAGATATATATCTTTACTAGGTATTTGTGCCCAGCTGGCTGCTTGTACAGTAAGGGAAAGATCTTTGGAACATTTTATTATGAGAGTGTAAGTACCTTTTAATAGCTCATAGATGTAATTTGTGGGGAGCTAGCGGTAATAACAGAAATTCTAGTGTAATTTGGCTTTTCGTATTCTCCAGTTGTGGTGCTGTAAAATGCTGCTAATAAAGATTATCCGTATTTTCCTCGTCTTAGTGATGACAAAAAAGGAGCAGTCTGGAAAGGCAAAGTGATTCCAGATATGATTTTATCATGAATGCCCTTAATGTGCAATGAAACCTGTGGAAAGTGAGGAATGGGGATGGACAGACCGCTCTGGCAAAGATCTCTTCTTCAGTGTGGGCAGCTGTCATGCTGAACAGAAACTTCATACAAAAAACACTGTTAAATATTGTAACTAAATAATATTTTGGGATGATTTTCTGGATCTTGAATTAGCAAGATAATTTATAAAGAGAACATGGCACTGTTTTCCCATCACAACTTCTTTTGGGTTGAAGAAAGGTTGAGGATAAAAACAATTTTGTGTAAAAGCCTGTTTGCTACCCCCGTTCTCACTGTTGGGTCCCTGGCTGCATCTCCTGTGATACGTCTTTGCCCTGCAACTCCTGTGATTGCAGACAGCCACCTCTTCCAAGTGGTCTCAGCAGAAATATTTTGGGTTTGAATATTTTGTGGAGAATGGGAAGTATTTCCTACCAGTCATTAATTTCCAATGCTGCTTTTCTCCTAAATTGTATCTAAATGTATGGTTTTGTTATTTCAGAAAAGCTCGCCATTCAACCAGGCTTAAAATAGTAATAATAATAATGATAATAAAAGAATAAAGCTGTGCTGGGAGAGCAAGATTTAACAACCAGATTCCAAAGGAGTGTACTCAGCTTATTTTCCCTTTGGTGCTTTGGTGGTGGTTTCCTTCCTTCGTCGTTTTTTTGCCCAGCGGTTGGTCGCCGTTGCTCTGTGAAGGAGGTTTGTCTCACACACTGTTTGTGTTTTTGCTCTTGTCAGTCCTCAAGCATATGTCGTGCTGCAATTCATTACGGCATCCTGGACAATAAAGGAGGGCTGGTTGATATCACGAGGAAGGGGAGGACACCCGCTTTTGTGAAGTCTACCAGGAATGGTGTGGAGTCCTTCAGGTATTACCTTCATGAAAAACTTCGTATTTGCTTTAAATATAAGCAAAAGTTCAGTCATTTTTGGTACTCCTCTGCAGACATAGTGAATCAAGTAACCTTAGTATACTTATTTTTTTAATAAATGGTTTTTGTTTGCTTGTTTTGCAGGAAAAGTAAGCCTTCAAATGCGTTCATGGTTTCTAAAGTCACAAGTAAGTTTTAAAAGTTGAGAAGAAACCATTGCTGCTGGAGTTTTATGGGATGCTTGAAAACATCATTCCTTATAGTGCTCTTTTTCCTTTTAAGTGGTCACATCAAGTGGCTCGGTACCACGTCTAATTCCCGGAGTGGTGATCTGTCACCCACTACGGGCAGTTCCACCACCCACCACCTCATTTGTCTGTAGGGATCTAAGAGGAAGGAATTGAAAAAAGTGGTAACAGGCCATTTCCAGCGGCATCTCCTGGTGATGGATCACGGTTGAGTCCAAAAATCAGCTGCTGATAGTAAAGGGATGGAAGATAAGCCATCCTGGTGTGAAAGCCTCAGTCTAGAGTGAACATTTTTAAAAACCAACCCAACCCAAACCAGAACACCTAGTATAATAATTCAATAGTATAATGAATGCATAATACATACAAAATTAGTCTATAACAGTGAGTCATTGTATTTACAATGAGAATTTAAAGGAATACTGTGGAGTTCTAATTTTTAAAAGATTCTCACTTTCTGAGTATTTTTGAACAATTCCTCCATCTAATCATCATTTTTATTAGATCCACCTGAACTGCTTTCAGTGAGAACTGTAGGTGTCAGGTAATTCAGAGCTGTAGCAAAAATTCCCCGTCTTGTGGATCAGCTGCTTTTCCTCTGTTGAAACCTGTGACCTTTTTAAGGCCACGCTGTAGAACGGTAGCAGGGTTTCTGCTAGGTCAGCCCTCTCCTGGGTGCTGGTAAAGGAGCGAGCAGCTTTCCTCCTGCTACCCTTAGCTGGACACTGCTCACACCAGCTGCCTTGCGTGACTGTGGCTTGTGTTGTCTGCAGCTGCCCGAGCTGTAGTAATTTGCCTTTTCTGTATTTATCTCCACAGCACAGACGCTGGATTGCTACACGACAGTAGCCGAGCTGTGCCAGTTCAAAAAGCCGGCGACCCATTGCCCAAGGTAACACGAGCCCACTTATGTTCAGCTTAAACCTGCTCTGCTCCGAGGAGGCACAGCTTAGCAGAGGTCCCCAAAGCTGAGGGCCAGCAGGGATGGAGCTGATTTTACCAGAAGAACTGGAGGAGAGGGTTGGGAATGGCATGTTTTCCTCCTGCCACCGTGCTTTTCTTGGCATCGCGATAGAAAATACATGTTAAGTTTTCAAATTGTTTTGATAACATAGAAGTCAGGCCACTCTGTCCCATTTTAGCACAGCAACTTTGCACTTTGTTTTCCTGCACTTGCTGGTCTTGTGGTGCACTTTTCCACATAAGACATGGAAAATTTTTGTTCTAGAAAGTTGCTTTTACTGGTGTAAGTCATGGCAGGGCAGGGGACACAAAGCCGTGCAAATCATTGCGCACAGCACTGCGCAAAGATATAAGTACTCCCCTTTGAAAATGTCATAAGAGACTGATCCTTGTGGATCTAAACCTTTTTGTGGTCTAAACCTCTTTTTCTGCAGTAACCAGATGTCATCTGAGGGGAACAGATAATTAAATTCACTGTTGCCACCTGCAGACCAGATGCAGGCACTTGAAATCTCCCAAGAATGCAGCTGGCTTTCCTGTCGAGGCTTGATAGAGAGAATAAAAATGAATCAATTGTTTTCTAGGATTTATTGTCCAGCCCACTGTAAAGATGAGCCGTCGTACTGGGCACCGGTGTTTGGCACAAACGTTTACGCAGATGTGAGTACCCTCCTTCCCCCGATGACCCCGCGTGTCGCGATACCTGTATCGCAGGCCTGGCTGTAGGGAGAACAGTCGAACTCTCCATGATCTTTGCATCGTGGGGATGGAGTAAATGCAGGTGGAGGAAGAAGTAAGCACCAACAGCTAGTAAGCACCAACTCCAAGCTGGGGTCAGCGGGTTCGTGGAGTGTTTTCACTCCCTGACACTGATTTATTCTCACGGACTTGGACAGGTCACTTAACAGATTGGTGCCTTAGAGGCTGTGGCTGATAGTAGCTTTAGCACAGCAGGATCTACAGATGGCCATGGAAGGGGCTTTATTATATCCTATCACACTAGATAGTTGGCAAAAACAGGCCTTCCTACCTCTCCCCTGTCGTCCCTTCTCTGCGAGCTGAACAGTGTTTTTGAGCAGTCGGGGCACAGCGCAGAGCTGTGGAAAGCAAGCATGTGAGTTGGTTTTATTGGTTTGTTTTTCTAGTGCTCATGGGGATGAGCAGAGACTTGATGCTAAAACTAGGCAAAGAGTCAGGGTTTTTTAAATCTCTTAGTATTAGGTGTCTAAAAACTTGAGTTTCAATGTTTTTCCATTTGTGGGTTTTCTCTCTTTTTTCTCTTCCCCCCCCCCACCTCCCTGTCAGAGGTTGTATTTAGGAATTCCAGCTCCCCGGCTGGTGTGTAGCCTGTAGGAACATGCTTTTTTGAAGGCCTGGGGGAAGCAGTTGGCAGGCTGTAGACCTCCAGCTCGAGGTCACCGTGGAGCTTTGCAGACTCCTGAGAGGAAACATCCTGCAGTAATCATACAGCAATTTGGGATAAGCAATTTTGAAAGCAATTAAAAAAAAAAAACCAACAACGCAAACACCTATTTTTTTATCTTACTTGAGATGGATCTTTTTAAAGGTAGATCTGCACAAACAGGTTAGCCTGGAGTAGTTTACATGCAGATTCTTTGCCTGCCTCTGTACGTGCTCTGACCTGCAGGAAATGGAAAATAGTTTTCTTTCTTTTACTGAGGACAAAACTACCTCAGATTACTCCAGAACAGGGCCTGTGATTAAAAGAGTATTAGGCGAGGACCAGCATCTCAGCCTGGCACTGTTTCCTGATTTGCACTGACGCAAAAGGATTAGTGGCCTTTAATGAATTGCAAGCTCCGTTTCCTACTGTACCCCCTGGGTATTGTTTCATAAATGGGGGCATGGACTGTGATTTGGGAGAAAAGATAAAATAGGGAAAAAAAAAAAAGTATTTGGCCACTTCCTAGAGGGTTTGGTGAACCTTTTTCTGGACCACTGTACTAATAGGGTGTAACCAGGAAAGCATTTAGGTTTTTATGAGAGTGTGAGATTGGTGGCAAAGCAGGTGAAACCAGCTGGGGGAAAAAAAAAAAAGTAGTTTGAGGCTGTGAAATGTTCTGCAAAGGGAGAGAGATGGAAGCTGAGAAATGCTCAGGCTGGAAAGCTGACAAGAGAAAGAAGAATGCTGTGGAGGGGGAATTTGAGCCAAGGTTTTTCCCAGGGTGCAGGATGCTGTCCGTGTTGTCAATTAACCTGAGCCCAGGGCTGAGGACTAATTAAAGCAGACAAGAAGCTGGATGAGACAAGTGCTAGTTGTCCGGGAGGATTCTTTGGCTTCTAGAGTGGCACCTTTATGGCCCTGGGCAGGACTTCTGCTCCAAGTGTGTCTTCTGAAGGAAATTATCTAAAAGATAAGGAAGCGTTTTGTCCTGTTTCCAGCCTCCACTCCCTGCGAGGTGCCCTCTGGCCTTTTAGCACCTTCTCCAGAACATCGATTTGCTAAATGCTCTGGCAGGTAATGATGAGTTGATAGGCCAAGAAGTGCTGACAGAAATGCTTGGCTAGTCTGTGTAATGACCTGATTCACTACGCTTTTGGCCTGAGAGAGCATTCACATTTACGTGATCCCAGGAACACACGTGAAAGCTTGTTTTCACATGAACAAAGCTGTGACGTGAAGAATTGGCAGGTCTTGTGGGATAACGGGATGATTCCAACTTTCATTCTGGGGGTACAGGAGCCATTATCTGGGTGTGTGTTAAGGGATTTTTACCCACTTCAAATACATTGTGAAATTTATTATTATTTTTTTTTACTCATTATAAAATTATCTTGAATTATCCCCTGGATATTCCTGGTGGCATAAAGCACAAAGAGATATTGGCAGCTTTTCCTTTAAAAAACAGTGCAGGAAATTGTTCATGGTGAAATGGTGGAACAGGGACATAGAGGAGCCTTAAATTTTGGGGTAAACAAACAAAACACAAGAAAAGTTAGTGCCCAGATCCCAGGACTTTCCACTGAATGGCATTACTTTTTGGTGAGAACAGACTTGCTGCCTGCATGCAGGATTTGCAGACTGAAGCAGCATGAGGAGAGCACGGGGGGAACATATCCAGCATCTTCCCAGCACTGAAAATGAGCAGCAAGAAGCTGCTGGCTGGGGAACAGAAAAATTGCTGTTTCTTTTCCCTGGTGGCACATTGCAGCAAAGTTTTTTTTACACTGCCATGTGAATAGGGGAAAGAGTAGGAATAAAAACTATTCTATGAAGATGTGACTGTGCCTAGGAAATAAAACTCAGCTTTTACTAGTGTGGACAGGACCGTTCTTGGGGGATGCTGGAGCTGTGTGGATGCCTGAGGGTCTTTTTAGGGCTGTAAAATGACTCAGCTCTTGAGATAAGGTTGTCAGTTGTGCAGCAATTAGTTGGAAGAGCATGGATCACCTACCTAACGAGGCAGGCCTTTATCACCAGAGCAAACCAAGTTGGGTTGCTCAGCTGTAGGGAGACAGGAGCACAAATTATGGGTGATTAAACTCAGGTACAGAGTGTTGCTGATAGTCAGCCACGATGCCATGGAAAGCTGTCGAGTTGTCCATACAGCTGTACTTTTGAATTTGAGGGGAAGGGATTCTTCCTGTAAGGTCTTGTCTTCCAAAAGTTCTGCAATCAATTTCTCAAAGCAAATCCCGGTCTAAGATAGAAGAGGGCTGGGATCCAACAGCGTGATAAGAGGAGGTCTGAGGTAAATAAAAAGCTTGTCAGTCAAAGCTTTGAGTAAACAGCAGAACAGCAAGTCCTGGAAAAAAAATAACGACAGGAATGTCTTGAAAGGAACATTGTTTAGGATGTCTCCCAGTGGAGAGTGTTGCAAATGGATTCAGGACAGTTAAATTTTATGAGCCAGTTTTAGATTTACAGATTTCCCACCACACGCTAGGGCGAATTCACAGTGTATCTTCCAAACGCAGCGTTCCTTTGCTCCCTTGACCATATATAGAAGCGAAATACCAGATTGGCACTCAAAACTCAGTGAGAGCTGCCAAGAGATAGGCCATCCAGAGTGATAAATATATAGGGGACAAGGCAAACCTGCCGTATATGGCTGCGAGAATGAAACGGCTCGATCCGTACTGTATGTACATGCCAGGAAGGTTTGCCCTCGGCACTGCTTTTGTGGTGCTTTGATTTTTAGCGATCGAGGAGTTTATGGGGTTGGGATTTTCACCTGCTGCAGTTCCCCGTGCAAAGCTGATTTTAGCTTTTTGTTATTCCAGCTTGCTGTACATAATGCCTCCAGAGAGCTGATGGCCAAGTTTATACTCTGCCTAAGCCCTGTCTGCTTTTGCTTTCTTTTCTGGATGCTTTGGGGGCTTAGTCATCAGTTGTTAGTGTTTTGTGTTCCTCTGGCTCTTCTGACTCTGCACATCTTGGAGAGCAGGGGAATGGCACAACGTGCATTAGAGAAGCTTTGGGCTTTTCAGAAGTGTTAATCTCCCTCCGTACTTGGTGTTGTCTTAGGGGATAATGCTAGTCCAAAAACTACACCACGCAGTGGGTGCAGTCCTTCCGTTTTTCCTAGAAAGAACGGTAACTGGTGGTCATTCACCTTAAGTCAGCAAAAGCGTCTGCTTTTCAAGCACCTGGGTGAATAAACCTCACTGAGGTGGCTGCTCCCTAGCAAAGAGTTTCACCGCAGCGGTTTCTCTGGTGCAGACCCAAGAGGTGCTGCCTGGAAAGTTGTCCTTGATTCAGCTTTGGTCCTGGATAATGTCCCAGGCACAGCTCCACCGCAGACGGGAGTGGTGGAAAGGCTGCTTGTCCTCTGCGGTGGTGGTGGATCTTCTTACCGATGGAGCTTATGACACAACTGCAAGATCTGATCTGCTCCGTGACGTCTTTTATCCCTAGTCTGTCCTTAAGAGGGTCTGAATCGTTTCACAGCTTTTTCGCTTTCTATTTTTTAATTTATTTTTTTTTATTCTGTGGTTTTCCTTGATGGTGAATCTCCAGATATAAAATAGAGTTTGTAAATGAACACAATTAAATATTTTTCAGAGCTCCAGTATCTGCAAAACTGCAGTGCACGCAGGAGTCATCTCGGATGAAAGAGGCGGTTTTGTGGATGTGATGCCTGTAGAAAAGAAGAAAAGTTATGTCGGCTCCTTAAAGAACGGAGTCCAGTCTGAGAGGTGGGGTTTTTTTCTTTATGTTTTCCTTTCTTTTCATGACTGTGTGTCAAAGTCAGCAGATATCAGCCATAAAGGCTGATGGATTGGAAATATGGGACTTAACGGTGTCACTGTGAATTTTGAGACCCAGACAAATAGAGCATGTCGTCCTGCTCTTGCCTTCCACAAGTGAGGGACGGCTTTCGGATTGGTGTGAAAGGTGTAAAATATTGTTGAGCCTTGTTTTATTTTGTTACAGCATGAGTCCACGCAAATACATTTTGTTGTGTGTGCTTAACACATTGAAAGATAAACAGCCTGGGTCATGCTTTGAGGCTTATTGCTGGGAATTCCAGTCAATTCTGGGGTGTGGGAGGCATTTGTACCTGTTGACTGTTTTCCTCTATTGTCTTTGGAAGAAGCATGAGTAAACTCACCTCTTGAGAGATGATCAAAGAGTTCTTGAAGGATTTGCCACCCTTGAAATTTTTTTTGTGGCTTCTTTTGGGCCAAGCTTGCTGGTTTCAGTGAACATTTGCAAATCAGTGCTTCCAAAATCCTGCACCTCCAGATGATGTGAATGATCAAGTCACAGCTCATTCAGCCCTTTCTAATTTGAAATATCTATTTCAGTCTGGACGGTGTGATGATATTTGTGTGATGGTGCTGATATCTCAGAGCTATTTCTGCAAACACAGAATTTCCCACTATTATGGTGGGTTTTTGATCACTACTAACATGCCTCTGTCAGCTCTATGTAGTTCCTCTTTTATAACTACCATAAGAAATCCAAACAAGTTTACTCTTTTTATTCTAGTAATGGATGTCCAGAATACTGTGGAGCATCTCAGAAAATAAAAATAGACTAAGACAGGAAAGCTATTGGCATTAAACATGGATTTCTTTAGTACAGACCTCTCAGGGTCAGCATTTTGCAGTTCTGTCATTTGCAGTTTCGTAGATTGGATTTAGGTGACAAATAAAATAGCTAAGAATAAACTCTGCCTCTAGCAGTGACATGCAGTATGAGCACCCAGTGCTGGTCTAGCAGGTGAGGGAAACCAAAGATGTTCTTGCAGCAGGGATAAGCATGAAGATTTGGAAAGTGATTTGTTTGGTGGTTGGGATTTTTTTAGGGGTATTTTAGTTTTTTTTTAATTTTTTTTTGTTAGGTCTATCACACTGTGGGTCCTGCAGTGTCTGCATTTGGTTTATTACATGCTTTTATTATTTTTTTTCCCTCCAGCTTGAAGAATCCTTCAGATGGAAACGCTTTCCGAATTTTTGCCGTGAAGCAGTAAACTCCCAGGGAAAGTGCAGGTTTCTTTGGGAGAGCGCTCTGTTGATCTCCAGAGACAGGAAGGCTCCTCTGATGGCATCAGCTCTGACCGTACCCTCCTTGCCGATCTCTTTCAGGGAATCAAAAAAAGAAAAGGAAAAAAAAAAAAGACAAAAAAAAAAGACACCAGGTTCTGACTCAGCTGTTTGCATCTCATCGCACCCGTTCAGCGTTGTATCTTTTAGTTTTGTGTTTCTGTTTCTCTAGGGGCATTCAGCAGTGATAAACTGTTCTAACCTTCAATTTACGAGTGAGGTGTGCTACACAGAACGGTGCTGGCTCAATGTGCAGCAGATGTAGGACTCTCAGCCCGGCCCTGGGTGGCATTTTTAGGGTGTGAAGCCTCTGCTGTGACGGGCGTGAGGACGCGTGCCGATGAGCAGACTCAGTGTGCGACCGTCCAGGCGCTGGACCTTTCAAAATGCGAAACTGTTGTAAAAGTTGTGTCTTTCGGGAGAGAGGCTGGGCTTTGACAGAGTGTTTGTGTGTACGCTGGATGTTTGCTGTGCAAAGGAAGAGAAAATTTGGTATTTTCCCACTGAGGCGGCGTGCAGCGGCCCTGCTGTTTTAGGCTGCTGGGGCATCACGCTAGGCTACGTTGAGCGGCGGTGACCCGTTTGGGGAGAGGACGTTCTTGTCGGCAGGACATCAAGGTGTTTTGGGGGACTGGAGCAAGGTGTGAAATGGTGGCAGAGGTTCTTGCTGCAGAAAATTGGGCCAGATAATCCGAACAGCAGGTTTAGTGTTTGCTGGTCAAACATTCAGAGGTATTTTGCGAGTCTGGCAACCTACGAGAAGTCAGGGCTCCTGTGCTGGCGCATCTCATCCTATACTACACGCCATTTCAAATAAAATTTCAGTTAAATGCAGTGTATTGTTTTATACAGCAGTGCTGATTGTTTTATCTGTAGTTAAGTAGTGACAAAGTTAACCTTATTTCTGCTAGGAATGGTTGCATCCATAGGAAGCATGTTCACCTTCGTGAAGCTCTTCATGGTCTGTGCAGTTCTGAAACTTTAAAGATGTGGCATGAATTGAGGTAGACGAGTTTTTCCCATTCGGTTTGTGAAACCAACAGCTCCCCACTTTCACTGTAAATGCTGTACCCGCGAGCGTTTGGTATCCCAGAGTATAGTAGGTTTTGCAAACCTCGTAGGTGTTGCAATGATGTCATTTCATATTTCATTATTTCTGACTCAACATGCACCCAAATGCATCTTAAATTCAAGAGAAGAGCATGGCCAGCTCTTTTAAGGCGGGAGCATATTCTCTGCTTTATATCAGAAATGTCAGGCTGTCTTTTGATGCACACGCATCCAGGAACTTCATTAGTCATAAAAGATAACGTAAACTTTAGCTCTTCAGTTCTTGTAAAGACGCAGTCCTTCTGCTCAGTAACGTGATTGTAGTATTGTATAAGAAATGGGAAAACATTTCCCTCTGTTTGGCAGATGTCTCATAGCTGCTCTTTACACTCAGGCTGTGTTTGGTTTAATACAGACAGTTTTAAAGCCATTTTTTCAAGCTGTTTCAAAACACAGACCAAAAATATTTCTATGATTAAGCACTTCTTAATTTCTCTCACTGTCAATGAAATCAGCAAGGCAATGACATTCATCACTCAGTTTCTCACCGTTGGGGTTTCTCCCTCTGTGAAACCTGAATTTGGAAAGGGACCTTTTGTGTGAAATATGAAATTGGAGCTGCTTTGCATGGTCTCCAGAAGTGCTGCACAGCAAACCTCTCTTTGGGGTGGATAGAGAGAGATCACCCCGTGTCGTCTTTGTTTATATAGTAGGTGTACAGTATTTGCTTGAGATAGGAAAACCAAACTGTTTTTTTTTTTATTATTTTATTTTCTTACTAGGTAAATTGATGCTAAAACCAGCTGGAACACATCTTAGAAAAGCTGCTGGTTGGAAACGTTTGAGATCTTGGCAGTGAGATAAGGCTTCCCTGTTTCTGCCCACTGTGAATAATTATGTTTATACATGGTCTGGTTCAAGCCCCTTGAATACTGCAGCGTGAATCTGGGACCATCACGGGCCAAAGGGTGGCCACAGGGCTACTTATTGAATCAGAAGGATTAAGAGATGCAACTGGGTGTTCTTCACGAGGATATAAAACGCCTCGATGCTAACATAGGATCCCACCTCTAATATGCTGTCTGTGACAATTAGGTATGTTGTAAAAATGGTGGCAAAAAAATATAAATGTGAGGGTTCTTGGAGAAAAGCCCAAGCCTGTAAAAATCCAAACACCTTGGGATGTATCTACCTGACAAAAAGGGGGTGAGGGAAGAATTATTATTCCAACAGAAATATCCTAAAATGCTTAATTCAAGCTACAATTGAGCATTTTTATCTTCAGCCAACTGGTTTGGATTTTTAGAAACTGATGTTAATTTAAGTCTGTATCTGTTTATTTTTGTATGTGTTGTACAAAAGAGAAATTGTGACTTTACTACACAAATATTATTCGAGGTCCTGGGTGCTATTAATTTAAATATACCTCCACCAGAATTAGGGGCGATCAGGTCCTCCAAGGCAGGCATGATATATCAATGACTCGCAATCATGTGTGCTGGCTATTCCGTATATAGGTGGGACAGTACCGTTTTTTAACCAAATATTTACCAGTTTTATTTCTGATACCAAAAAAACCTTTCTCAGCCTAATTTGTTCCAAAGCAGCTTAGAGATGCAGCACATCTTTAATATCACCAGATCCATTCCTCCTTGACCGAAGTATCTGGTTAAACCTCCTGGCAAAGCCGATGCTGCCTGGTTAATCTTTTGCAATACGCTTATTTTTGAAACCAAGGCTGCTGGGACACCTGGCTCAGCACAGGCCAGATCTCCAAAAAACCACAACCAGGGCGGAAGCCAAAGCGTGGCACTTCTCCCGCTACCGGCTCCGTTGGCTTCACGATTTTCTGCATTTTAAGATGTTCAGCCAACAAGCTGATTGAGGAGTCTCCAGTTGGTCGGTTGTGCAGTCTAAATATTTAGGGCCAGTTCATAGAGTTGCTTTTTTTTTTTTTTCTATGAAAAATGATGTATTTTACTTCCTATGTACAAAAGTTTCTTGTAAATTTTGGTGTGCCTTTGCATGTTTTTTCAAAGGGCCGTGTGTTTGTTTATAAACTATAATTTTTTTTCTAAATACAGAATTGTAAAATATCTTCCCCCCCCTCCTCATTTTCTTTTTATTTCTGTATTATTTGTGAAATAAAACCTTCCCAGAATGAATGCTTCCCTTGTCTTTAATGCTCAGCCAGAGCTGGGGATGTATTTAGAAGAGCTATTTGGGATTACTCCTGGGGACTAGAGTATCCCCTGGAGAGGCCAAGCGAGATCAGGATGTGCAGAGTCTGTTCCACAAACAAATAAATAAAAGTGCCCAGTATCCAGGCATTAAAAGTCAGCCTTTAACCCACCAAGAATATGATGTATGCTTTCCTGAAACACCCTGAGCGTAAGGGAAAATCAGTGTCTGTCTTTAGGTTCCTTCAATAAAAGGGCTGAAGTAGATTAATGGGTTAGAAAAAGTGCTTGATGAAGTAGTGCTGCAAAACACAACTGAGATGAACTCCCTGCTTTTTTTAAAGGGAAAAGTATAGAGAATATTTTTCTATTTATTTTGCTTTTAGTTTCCCTTGAAATTTTCTCCAAGCTTGTACTTGCCCACAGCACCACAAATCAAACCAAGTTGTTTCCTGATAATTCAGCACCATATTGGTTAAAGGAACAACGTGATAGGGAGGTCAACTCAGCTTCCAGGCAATGGGCACCATATGGCTTTTAAGCAAAAATGCAGTCGGAGCTGTGCGAGGGAGTCCTGATTGGCAAGAAGGCCATGAAATTTTATTTTTTCCCTTACATTTGCAACAAGATCAACGTAAAATACAGAGATCTTTGCGTTACTCCAAGGCTGGCCTGATCGAGTTATGGTTGAATGGTATTTACTGGTAAAACCCAACGCAAAGTTTGACATGGTAATGTGGTTATTGAGCTGCCGATGGTTTTTCCAGAAGGAAAATTTAATGGCTGTTGTGTGCTCTCCATTAAAAACTGTCCTTCTGAGCTTGCCTGGTTTGTGCTTGCTCTCTTCCACTCTCACTGCAGCAAAAGCATCTCCCTCACTGAAAATACTGGAGAAGATTTTCACGAGCGTAAAGGTAAGCAGAGAAGGGTATTCAGACTAATGCTCGTGGTCATGCTGAGGCTCCTTAGAGCATCCCATTGATTGCAACACCTGTTTGGTTTTCTATTTCCTCATGCAACAAAAGGCCCCAAAAATACCACTGCAAAGTTTAGATCGGGACAGTGTAGGGAGGAAAACAGCGTTAATATCCAAAATTCAGGGCTAAGGTTTCTGCCCTGTATGTTAGCTTCAATCCCTCTGGCTCTGGCTCTGGTTTTGACAACTCTCCTCTTTTCTTGCTCAAGCCATGTGCTTTCCCCTTCACTTTTCAGCAAGAAAAAAGGAAAAAAAAAGGTGTTATCAGGAGTGCTGTGCATGAGCAGTGCTGCGGGCAGTGCGGTTTCCTTTCCGTAGAGCAGCTGTGCAAACTAGGTAAGTGAAAACTTCAAGCAATATACAAAGAGGTAGGAGAAAAATCAGCATTTTTTTTCCCATTCAGGGGTGTGTAGTTCAGGTTCATGCTTTAGTGAAAGAGGACATAAAAACTGGAAGGCTCGAGCATCAGTAGAGCAGAAGGGGAAAAAAAATGTGGATGTGAGTGAGGACAGCAACCGACAAAAGGGGGAACCCCATAACCCTGTTTTCGCCCTTTGCTGGTAATCCTGTGGGATCAGCAGGGCTCTCCCTGTTTCAGAAGAAACGTCTTGATGCCTGTTGCTCTGCCTCCTGCTGCCTGCTCCTCATTCCTCCGCTGAGCTCATTAGAGGCTATGTATAGCATGGGCATACCTTGGGGTGGGTGTTCTTCCAAAAACCCACGTTCATTTATAGGATGCGCCCAGGCGATGTTTTCAAAGCCGTTTTGCAGACGACGGGGTTGCTGCTCGTTTATGCTAAGGACCTACTTTAAGGCACTTAGAGGACATTTATGCCACTTCAGGGTGTGGACAGAGCAGCGTAAAGAAGCCTCAG